CCACTTAAGGAAGCAGTTTAGTTTCTTTGGAGTGAAAATGAGACACTGGCTTTTTGTTCTCTTTGCACAGCGAAGGGTAAAGAAAACATCAGAATGGAGAGGTCACTCTAAGCTCAACTTTCATAAATAACAAAAGTTTTTTTCCAAAAATTAAAGTAAATTGAACTCAAGTCCTTGTAGCATAAACAACTCAACTGAATTAAGGTTAAATAAACATTCCTTGAGCTCCAGTGTGCCAATTAAAGAACAAATTCTGTTCGGTCATAAATATATCAGTAATTCTATAAGCACTGAGGAAAATAACAATAAACCTGAGCACACAATTACTGTGTGTCATAATACAATAAAATAGAACGGTGCAGACTTATAAGTTTCTTTGATTCAATTTCTTTTTTTTCACCCCAGTTTGATTAACTAAAGTGCAGAAGCAACTTCTGTTACCTTCCAAAGCCTATTACTTGCATAATAAAAAACGCATGTCAAATGTGTTCTGGGCAAAACACAGACAAACTGAAACATACTGTGGCTTTTAAATGTGACCTTTCCTTTTCTGTCTTCCTGCTACATGGTCACAGAGCACATTAAACTCAGGAAAGCAGCAGGGTGCTGGTGTGGGGCTGGAGGGGGAAAATGAATGAGAAGAGGAGAAATTCATTAGGCTCTCAAGTTTTAAATTATCAGTAGAAGCATCTGCTATAAACATGCCTGCACTACTAGCCACGGAGGGCCATCTCCAAATTTGCTGGGACTGATGATTCTCCACTACTTCCCGGCTTGTCATTTCCCCTGTTCTGCCCACAGAACACCAGGCTAAAAGCAAAGACTAAAGAAAAGGAATCCTCATGATGATAGAGATTTAAATTTTGGTCTTGCTTTCTCTCATTCTGTGTGAATAAGACTTATATCGCATCAGAGAATGTACAGTTGAAGAAAACTTTGGTGGTCGTTTTACTCATTGTCCTACGTAATACAGCAACCCTCTCCATAGCATCCCAGAGTTGCTACTGTTCCAACAAAATTGCCCCCTTCTTGAAATGAGCTGTTTCATTGCTGAACAACTCTGATGGATAAAATGTCCATCCATAAAATGGTCCTAGTTATGCCTTTTAGAGTTACTAAAAATAACTCTTGGATTCAAGTATCTCGTTAAACAATAGAAATATTAAAATGTTGGTTCATCTACTCACGGGGCCTCCCAGAAACTTTCTTTGCAATTGAACAATCTACTTTCTCATTCCTGCTGCAATTCTGGTTTCTGCTGCAACTGCAGAAATATGCCCTCTTCAGGTATACATAAATAATTCTGATTCAATGATAAAATACACTCTGCGTTAGACTCTTTTGAACTACTTAGACTTGACCCTGGGAGCAGGTTAAAAACTTGTGAAAACATATTATTTCTCTTTTAGGCTATTATAACATTGTATGAACCTAAATAATGATTTACTAAATAATACCTGGATGAGATGAAAGAGAATAATTTGATGGTGTCTCTATCTTTGCCTTTGGAGAAGTGTATGTTATAAAAATCCGAGGTCATAAGATATATTTTTCCAAAGCCAGGGATTAGAAGACCATAAATGTGAGTATTTTACATTATTCTAAGAAAATAACTAAAGAGCATAACATAGAGGACACAAATAGGAACTAAATAATATGATAGGGTTTTGGATTCTTTCTCCTAGTGCTTTCTATGTTCACAAGCAGCCAAAGCTATATGCTTACTTTTATGTGTTCTTTACCAGAGAGCATCCTTAGGTAATGCTATGTGTTACATTGCTTTATGGAATATTAAACCTTCAGCGAATCAATTATCACCTCTCAGCAGAAGACCCACAGGTCTCCATCTCCTGCCCTGGACTCTCTGCTTGCTTGAGTTTCTGCTGAATACATCCCTATGAAAATTTCACAGCACCTAACGAACTAAACTCATCTGCCCTTTCCCCAAACCAACAGGCTGAGTAACACTGGTGAATGTGACAGGACAGCCTCAGAAGCAAGGAAAGAGTAAAATTGTGAAAAAGGGACCCAAGCACTATGTTTCTCTCCAGAAGTCACAAATCATTTGATGTATAAAATATCAGCCCTATGTAATACTATATTTATGATTATCTTTGTTAGAAGAGTAGATTTGAGCATAAATAGAACATCAGTGTTCCCTTAAAGTTATATAAAAGTAAAAGTTTTACAAATTAAGTTTTAATGTGAATAGCCTGAGGAAATTCACTATTTAAGGGGCCCAAATATCGATGCACTGTTTTATCTTCATTTATTCATGCATTCAATAAATATTTATCGTATGCCCCTAGGTGGAAGGCATGATTATAAGTGATGAGCAGAAAAGACATAGTCCCTGACCTTAAGGAGCTCACCGATTTTTTTTGAAGTGAGGCTTTTCTAAAGGAGTGATCCAGAAGAGTGTGTGTTGGAATTTCAGGAGGGTGTACAAGGCAGATCTTCTAAGGAGAACACGTTAGTTGATGGAGTCTGACTTGAAAAACGCACATCAAGTTCATTTAACCCAAAATAATATCCAGGGGCAGCACCCCTATATTACTTCATATTCTAAGTGCACCTTCCTACAGAGGACACGTTATATTCTTCTTTCTGTAACTATTTCTTGACTGTAGTAACAATATTATCTCCCATTTATGGGGTGCTTACTATGTACCATTCTCAAAACAATCAATTTGCAGATGCAAAAACTGAGGCTTTGGGAGGTTAAGTCACTTGCCCAAGGTCACGTAACCATGAATAGGTCACACTAGCGACTCCAAGCCAGGTTCTGTCTTACTTCAAAGCTTATACTTTTTAATTCCCATAGTCTACTACCCACCCCCTTCGTCCCAAGAAAGCAATTATTGTGGTTAAGCTCTTCTTACTAACTAGTAATTTAAATCTCAACTTCCTTATAGCTTCTTTTTTAATACAAATAAACTAAAGAAAAATGTGAAATATGTTTTCCATTACAAAGGTTAAGATTGATCTGTAGTAGATGTTTCTTTTCCAGACAAACATTAGAAACAGCTTTTGGCAAGTAGCCACCATAAATAAACCTTCAAAATTAGACTAAATCTCAAGTGATGCATTGATAGACATTTTTAAAAGTGCCAAGGAATGTAAATAAAAATATAAGAAGATAGAAATCTATTAAATTATAAATAGGGAAGGAAATAGGTTTTACTTTTTTAATATATTTTCCACAACATTAAGTAGTGATCTGTATCTCTCCCTTTATTAACTATATCTTTTAATAGTGTTTCCCAAGAATGATTTGAGTAAATTACAGTGTCCTTATTAGGAGGGAGAGGGCACTGAAGCAGCATAATTTAAAATACCATTCTCTGGAATACAATATATCAAGTTTACTATCAATACAAATACCAGTAAATAGTATTTATCATGGTATTAATTCTAGCCCTTCATAGAAATGTCTTCACCATATCATGCTGTAATGTTACACACTTAACTCACATTGGAAGGCTGCTATATGAACCAAGATACGACATCCACTCCTCTTACAATACAAATATTGCTCTGCCCCTTGACCCATTGCATAACTCAGCGTTGTTTACTTAATATTTCCTTTATTGTTTCAAATATACTACTTTGGGAATGTGGGAAGTTAGAGGGAGGAACCATAATGGTCCCTTCTTCCTTAGAGTAAAACTTCTATTTTTTTCTCTTGTTGTTCTATGAAGGCTCACAGCCAAACTAAGCCTAAATTATGGTAGCTAAGAAGAATACCCAGTTTGGGCCCTAATTTTATATTTCCATTTTAGTAATTTTGTTATTGTATGTTTTATTGTAAACAACCAAATCCTTTTTGAATGAGGTTTGGTACAAGTTAAAAAATGAAATGTCTCAGTCCCAGAATTTAATCTTCAAGCTTGGTATAGGATCAAGCTACATAGAATTAGTCTAGATACAAGGGTGAGCAAACTTTTTTCTGTAAAGGGCCTATCAATAAAAATTTTATGTTTTAAAGGCCATACAGTCTCTGCTGCAATTAGTTAACTCTGCCTTTGTAGAACAAAAGCAACCAAAGGCAATACAAAAATAAATGAGCGTGGCTGTGTTCCAATAAAACTTTATTTACAAAAACAGCGGGCTAGATTTGGCCAGTGGGCTACAGATCGCTAGCTCTAGGAAAGAAAATCAATATGGTCTTTTACTTTTTGTATTTCTTCAAAAAGTATTCTACGTAAAACCCCCAAGGTACAAAAAGAGCAACTGAAACTATAAGAGTGACTCCAATTCTGTAGCTTTGATTGCAGGTTTCCATTTTGTTTTTCACATGGATTATAATATACAAAATTTGAAAGTGTAAGATGTATTCAGAAACTGACAGAAAATTGCTAAATATGCACTACTCTTCAAATATACATACATAATTCTTATCCAGTGATGAAAGTTTACTCTGACACAGAGTCCCTTGGACTACATAATACTTGGATTTCACCACGAGAATAGGTTAAAAATTTTCAGAAAACATTTACTTTCCTTTAGGCTGCTATGACCGAAGCACTAATTTACTAAATAACACCTACATGATAGGAAAGAGAATAATTGGATGGTGCTTCTCTCTTTACCTTGAGAGCAGTGGTTCCCAACCTTTTTGGCACCAGGGACTGGTTTCATGGAAGACAATTTTTCCACGGAAGCGGGGGGAGGGGGGTTGTTGGGGTGGGGGAGGACGGTTTGGGGATGATTCAAGCACATCACATTTATTGTGCAGGCAAACCTATCTGCTAATAACAATCTGTATTTGCAGCCGCTCCCCAGCTCTAGCATCACCACCTCAGCTCCACCTCAGATCATCAGGCATTAAATTCTTACAAGGAATGCACAACCTAGATCCTTCTCACGGGCAATTTATAGTAGGGTTCCTCCTCCTCTGAGAATCTAATGCCGCTGGTCTAACAGGAGGTGGAGCTTATGTGGTGATGCAGCCATGGAGAGCAGCTGTAAATGCAGCTAAAGCTTTGCTCACTGCTCACCTCCTGCTGTGTGGCCTGGTCCACAGCCTGGGGTTTGGGGACCGCAGCTTTAGAGAATTATATGTTCTCACAAACACAGGGACGTAATATATATTTTTCCAAAGCAAGGGACTAGAAGACCATAAATGTGTATGTTTTCATTCTGCTACATGTTGTAGGCCTAAATCTGTAAAGACAGTTGTCCTCATACTGTTCTCAAAATCAATTTAAAGTTGAAATGCTGGTTGTAAATGCCTAAACAGTTAAATCATAAGTAGTGCAAATAGACTTTTGCATCATTTTATTCCCAACAGTCACTCTAAAAATTGCTACTTTTTGAACTAATACTATATCCCTCAAAACAGTGCTCCCCAAACTGGGTAATACCTAAGAATTTATACTTATATCCGTTTTTAACACATAAAATTCTGGACCTCATTCCCAGACTACTGAATGAGATAAAATACTGGCTTGACTTTACTTTGTCTCCTCCCAGAATTCTGATGGGGCTGGACAACGTGATTAAACCTCACCACATACTAGCCTGAAGTAAATATCATTACTCCCTGTAACAGATAAGAGAACTAGGGCTCAGAGAACCTAACTTGCTTAAGCTCATATATTCACAGCCCTATATAGTCTTTCCCAATAGAGCCATCAACTTCTACTACATCACGAGAATGGAATTAACCAAAGGGAGAAAAAAACACAACACCCATATTCTAATTTAAGACTTGAGATTGCCTGCTTTTCCTTTCAATAAGTATTTAATTAATTGGTAGTAGGAAAACTAAATAAAACATAAAGCCCAAAAGTTCCTCTACCACTATAGATTATCTTTAATAGTGGAATGTTGCTTGTCTGGCCTGTGGCCCTTTTCATTTTTCTAATTTTCATCCTTTTCCACCCTCAAACGGTTAAAAAAAAATGGCTCCAAGTTGGAAAGAGGCCACCTGTGCCTTCAGGTATGGCACAAACAACTGGGGGTCAAGTAGAAGTGATAGGAGGTCATGTCAGGAGAGGAGAGGAAAGCAAGTGGAATGGACAGGTAGAATAGGGAAAATACATTTTATATTTATAGCCCTATGACCAAGAATGCATTTTATCAATGTGTCAAATCTGCACCTGGGTACTCAGTAACATTTATGGGAGTATCTATTTTGGTTTTACTGTAATATTTTCAAATTATAGGTTAGCAAACAGCTAACAATGGTAAAATAGAAATTGCAATGGTAAAATGAAGTAGAGTGGGTCTCCAGATCATTCTGAATTGTTTCCCCTCTCCCCTGGCTGCTTGACTTGGGGAGTTTAAGTTTAAATGCACCAATATAGTTTCACATTCTGTGTTGATGCATACAGAGTAAAATAACAATGAGGTAAATAAGTGAAACAGAAGCAAAACAAATTCTATAAGAATCACATCTCTAGAAAATATTTTTTGTAGTAAGTATCTCAATTCAAACAAAATGTATAGGTTAAATCTGTGGCCATAGAAAATGAGCTGTAATTAAAAATGGCTTTTTTTCCTATAAATAATCAAGGAAATGTTAGATTTACAGTCACAACTTTTTTTTATTTTAGGTATTCAGTGCACATTGTTCTCACAGCAAAAACTACAAAATCAAATGAAAAACCGAAAATCAATTTTTCATACTCATGAAATTGTGAAATTACTACCCTTTCTTGAGGCCTATCCAGAAATAATACATTATTATACAGAGTAAAAGAAAAAAAATGCCAAGAAAGAGTTAGGAAGCAGATGTTTTTAAAAGCTGTGGGAATGTGGGGGAAAGGAACTAAATGAGCATTTACACTGACAAATTCTGATGACACCGTACAGTTATCTTGTGCTACTGGGCCCAGCAGCTCCTTTGGCTGCCAGATTGTATTGCCTTCAGGCTGTCTTTGCACAACCCTAATATTTGGAAGCTGCAGAATAATCCTCCTTTTTCTTGTAGAACTGACCCAAGGACATCAAGAGAGAGAGGAGATATAATCCATCTGCTTTGAGCTGCAGAAAATTGAAAACTGAAATTGAATTGATGTTGAAATGTACAGATAATCCATGTTGCGCCCACAGAAAGTCAGTAGCAGCCACCAAGAAGGTAGGAGACTTTAGGAATTTTAGAAAATAGTGGCATGTTCTCAGGGCCAATTTGCACAACTCCAGGAGCAGGGCTCACACAGCAGCATGCAGTGGTTACACAATCGCCCGTTCAGTGATGGGATGACATATTTTGTGGGATGAGAAAGACACTAAACATTTTGTATCATTCCTTTACACCAATAGCCATTCTACCAAAAAGGTTTCTGAATATCATTTATGGATGTTTCAGAACTTTAGACTGGTCCCTGTTAATACAGCTAACCCCAACGAAATTATAAGGTTTGCAAAGTTGGTTTTCAGCTCTCCTTAATATTCCAGAGCTTTCCTAATCTCTTTTATTTTTCTTATTTGCTTCCAGAAGCTCAGTGCTTTACATTTTCATACTACTGCTGGAGGGCAGGGATAAATAAATGTCATTAGAAGCACCTGCCTTCATGGCCTAGACTGTGCATTTTAAGACTTTTCTTCTCATCAAAGCAGATCATCTTGGGCTCTGTTCCCTTGGAGCTTTGCTAAGTAGCTTACAGTTTCACTGTGAATATGGTAAGAGGTGATCATGACTAAATAACCCCCCAACCTTCACAGAAACATCTTTCCAGCTTGCATTCATTCACCAGCACAAACCAGCAAGGGGACACCTAACTGAAGAAGTGCTATGATGACAGCCAGATTGTTTTGAAAACTACATTGGCACTGAGATCTGACTCTTCTCCCCCAGAGCAAACCATGACTGAGAGCAGCAGTTACATTCAAATTGCTTCTCTCCCTCCCCTTTTAACAAATAGGAAAATAGATACATTGTATAATGCTGAGTGAGTGTTCCATATCACTGTAGCTCTCATAATGATAGATTCATGCAGGACAACGGGCCAAGAAAGAGACTGTGGCAGCAAAAGGCAGAGCAGAGAAAGTGAGGGTTGACACACAGGTATCACCATCCATTGTTCCCTCACATCAGGTATAAGATACAGAGTGAGTCACTTCACCCCTTGAAGCCTCAGTTTCCTCTTCTGGAATCTGGGGCAGGGGGTGGGGGGAAATCACTACTTTTTAATCTTAGGATACTCAGCAGGCTACCATGAGGGTCAAATGTAGTCATGAATACAGAGTTTAGCATGGAATCTGTCACATGGTTAGTTGCTCAAGAGATGTTAGCTCTTATTGCCCTTTTGACCCTCATCATCTATTAAACTTTATTTTCAAATAACTTGGTGAAAAACTTGTCTCTTATTTTCCTCTTCAAATGACAGAAATAAAAGTATTTGACAGGTAATGGCGTATATGATAAATATCCATACTTCTTTCATATTTAGAGCCAATCTGTGAATCACATTTAAGCTGTCTTCTGGAAACAATTTCAGCACATTCTACTTGCAGTCAGATGAAGTGGCAATTTTCTTAAAATATGGAGCAGTTTGGTGCTGGGCAGAACATGTATTCAGGCTCATAAACATAAACATTTTTTATGTAGCATTTAAACATGAACTATGCAACTCCAAATTGCTACAAAAATATAAACAAAATAATTTCAGGAATAAAGAGACACAGCTAAATAAAAATTGAGAGAAAGTAAAATAAAGGAGTTTTCTATGATGCGAGAAAAATTGGGTTTTGTGAATTTTTTTAGAGGGAGACAGTAGCACATTTCTGGAAATCGTTTAACATTATATGTCAAGTGACTTTGGTAATTACTTCTTATCATTCTAACCTTGTTCTAGCAGCCCCAGCCCAAGGCCAGCATCAAGGTTTTCTTCAGCGATGACAACCGTATAGCCATGCTCCCTGAGAACGTGCCAGTGGAGCCGAAGCTCTGTTTTGCTGTGGGAAGGACTGTAGAGTATGGCCCTTCGGCCATGACCGCCAAAGTGTGTCTCAACTGCTTCTTCAATCTAAGAAAAGAAAGAAGGCATAAAGATTCAACATGAAAAAGTAGTACATTTCCCTTGAAGGACACCATTAATGCAAATTGAGGGCCATTCAGAAAATTATTCTTTAAGTTTTTCTCTAGAAACGAAAGACAGATTCTCCAAAGGGCTGACAAGAGCAAAGACGACCTCATATGCAAGAAGTGAAGGTGAACCGAATTGTTCTCATTATTAGAGAAGATGAAAATTTTAGGCCATTAAAATATAGAGCTCCTTAGAGCAATACTGCTGCATAGAAATATACAGTTCAATTCTAGCTGGAAATATAAAAATAAGCAATACCTTTCATCTGTATTGTACTTTTGTAAAGTAGTTCCAGCTGCATTATCTTTTACTAGCTCTTTTAGGTAAACACAAGAGATGAAACAGACTCAGAGAGAATGAGGATGGGTTTTATGTGGGAAGGACATGGTCGAGAAAGGATAGAGATGAGAAGCAATCTCAGAGCTCTTTGGAGATATACAATGCTTCATTCAGTTTCTCTTGATTAGGACTTCCCAAAACTTGAATGCATCTCAGTGGGGCAGGATGGGTCTTCAAGTGTGAGAAGAGGTGTGCTAACTGAAGTATCATAATTCTAGGTTCTTCCCTTGATAGTTCATTGCTCTCTCATGTAAATATTCCTCTTTCTCACAATGGTGCTTGAAATTCTATTAACAAAGGGGATTTTTGAATTGACATAGAAAATAGGCTGACATTTAAATTCACTATAAGGCTTAATGGCAGATACTGGGTGTTTTTCTGAAAACTTGAGATTAAGCCTTGATAAAGTGAAGATGTTTTTTATTACTAGAAGGAGTGACAAGACTGGATGGTGATCAGGGCCAAACAGAAAAGAGGCCAAAGAAGAGGAGCCAAAGGAGGTGGTGGGAGAAGAGGTGGCATTGGTAAAAAACAAAATTAGGAATCCAAATTACTTCTAATGGCAGCTCTGGATCAACCTGTCCATTTTATGAGTCTAAAACACAATATTTTTCATATTGTGAAGATGATTTTTTTCAGCATTTAAATGTCTTAATTATTGCCCATACTGATTAGAATGGATTCTATATCTTTGTAAGGAACACAAGGCTATTCAAACTTAGACCCTGTCCTCCACTTCTGGTCACATCACACTCTTAATCATCTCCATCCCTGACCTCCAACCTGCTCCTTTATACACCACTGTGCCTTCCACCTGCAATCCCTCCCTCTCTCCATTTGTTTATCCATCGAACTCCAAATCATCCCTCAATATTCAAGCATTATCCCTTTTAGAAGGTTTTAATTGAAATACTACTTCCATTAGCATTTATGAAAGGAAATTATGTCTCTCCCTCATGTCAGTTACTTAAGAGCCAGGCCTGCATTGTTCATATATCTCCAATGTCTATCCCAGTATGTAGGTACACGTGGTACATGCTTAATAAACGAAGCTATTTAGTAAATTAACAAATCATAGTGCTCTATCAAAATCTTTGAACATATGTAAGGAAAGAAAGAAGAAACAGATTTAGATTGCAAGCCCTTTGAGGGCAGGAACCATATCCTATTTTTGATTGCATACAAACTGCTGCTATCGGGAAATTAATAGACAATAGCATAGTATGGTGTAGGAAGACAAAAACTCTAGAGTCAAACTGCTGGGTTCAAATCCCCTGGCTCCACCAGCACCATTTGTGTGACCTCAGACAATACCTTCACTAAGAGTGCTATGCAAATTAGTCAACATTTATAAAGTGCTTAGAACCATGTGTGCCACATAGGAAGCACTACATAAGTGCTTTTTAAATAATAAGCAATGAGTCAGGAAAACTGTTTCTGAGTTTGAGCTCTGCCTGGCACATGTTAACATAGGTGCTTACTAC